ACTAAAAATACAAAAAATTAGCTGGGCGTGGTGATGGGCGCCTGTAGTCCCAGCTACTTGGGAGGCCGAGGCAGGAGAACAGCGTGAACCCAGGAGGTAGACCTTACAGTGAGCTGAGATGGTGCTGCTGCACTCCAGCCTGGGCAACAGAGCGAGACTCCGTCTTAAAAAAAGAAAAAAAAATAACTATTTCTCTAGGGTGCTGCTGTCCCCTAAGCCCCACACTCATACAAAACGGTGATGTGAGGCCGGGTGCGGTGGCTCACGCCTGTAATCCCAGCTCTCGGGGAGGCAGAGGTGGGAGATAGCTTAAGACCAGGAGTTCGAGACCTGCCTGAGCAATATAGCGAGACCTCATTCTCCACAAAAAGGAAGAAGAAGAAAAAAAGGTATAACAGAACTGTGATGTGTTGTTAGTGGATGCACCTTGGGATGGTGGGAGGCCAAAAGTGAGAGGTCCTGCCCCATGGGGGGACCCTCTGCTGCTTTTTCTTGTGGAGGTCCTGCTCCATGGCAGAGGCTGGGAGCCATTCCTAGGAGAGAAACGCCCAGGAGGACATTTCATAAAACGTCCCCTTCTAGTCCTGCTGTCAGACGTCGCTGTGGACACTTAGACTGTGGCCACAAGCCCGTGTTCCTAAGTGGCACTGAAGTGGGGGGTGGTCTTCCATTTTGGTTATTAGTCACTTGTCTCATTTTTTAAATTTACTTATTGTTCAGATGTAGGGAAGCAATTTCAGCTTAATAAAACTGGCATGCATAAAAGAAGAAAGCACAAATTCTTCCAGTTGTAAACATTATTATCTTTGTCTTAACTGTGCTAAAATGTGAGCTTGTCGAAGTTCCAGCAGGAAAGTCTTCGTCTTTGTGCAATCGTGTGTGCAGGAGGCGCGCCTCGGGGTTGCGTAAGCACTTCCGCGATCCTGCACTCTTGCCATTCTTTTAGATTTGTGTAGTCACAACAGACTGTACTATTTGCGTTATTTCCTGTTAAATCTTTTAAATAGAATATTAACAAAACTTTAAAGATTCGGAGTATGTTGTTGCTGCGATGGTTGTTACCTACTGCTCGTGTTCTTGGTGGTTTTCCTGGAGTCTATGTGGAAACCACATGCTTTGGCTGGGGCACACCCGTGGTGGGTGGGCTGAAGGGGGAGGGATGCTTCTCTGGATGTGCTGGTGCCCGGTCACTGCTCAGCACCCTCCCGCTTTCCTTCGTTCATGATTTCTGGTGTTCCCTGACTTGCCACTATGTTGCATTAACAAATTGTCTTATCTAGGTTTAGTATCAACTTTTGATTTTTAGTATTATTAACAGTTTAATAATGTAACTTTTAAAAATTCTAAATTTCTGAACTGTTTAATATTTGTAGCTATTTTTACTTTTTCTGACTTTCTTTTCTTTTATATTTACAAACATTACATCTTGGAGTGAGATGTACACACCCATCATTAGCTCATGCCTCTGCTAGTAGCAGCTTTGAATAAGAAGGATTTAAAAACACATTACAGGCCGGGCACGGTGGCTCATGCCTGTAATCCCAGCACTTTGGGAGGCCGAGGGCGGATCATGAGGTCAGGAGATCGAGACCATACTGGCTAACACAGTGAAACCCCATCTCTATTAAAAATACAAAAAATTAGCCGGGCGTGGTGGTGGGCGCCTGTAGTCCCAGCTACTTGGGAGGCTGAAGCAGGAAAATGGCATGAACCCGGGAGGTGGAGCTTGCAGTGAGCCGAGATCGCGCCACTGCACTCCAACCTAGGCGACAGAGCGAGACTCCATCTCAAAAATAAATAAATAAATAAAAATAAATAAAAACACATTACAGGCCAGGCACAGTGGCTCACACCTATAATCCCAGCACTTTGGGAGGCCGAGGCAGGCACATCATGAGGTAAGGAATTCGAGACCAGCCTGACCAACATGGTGAAACCCTGTCTCTACTAAAAATAGAAAAATCAGCTGGGTGTGGTGGCATGCACCTGTAATCCCAGCTACTCAGGAGGCTGAGGTAGAAGAATGGCTTGAACCTGGGAGGCAGAGGTTGCAGTGAGCCAAGATCGCACCATTGCACTCCAGCCTGGGCGACAGGGTGAGACTCCATCTCAAAAAAAAAAAAAAAAAAAAAAAAAACCAACACATTCCAATAGCAGTGGGACCTTCCCTCCCAGGTCTTGTTGGGGTTGTGGGTAGCCATGGAGCTTGTGCTGCAGGGATCACCAGGTTCCTCTAAATGAAGCATGGTGGGATCCGATCTGCTTCATTATTATTAAGACCATGTCCTAATCTGATTGTAGATATTTTAAAAACCGTAGACTTTTAAAATTAGGCAACATTAGAGCTGATCCAGTTCTAGTTCTGTTGTTTTGCAGAGGGGGGCACTAAAAAAAGAGAGAAGTTGTCACAGTGACACACCAGAGTAGAATCTGAGTCTAAAAGTAATGCTTTTATTTCCCTGGTACCATGAATGTGGCTACTCAGCTATCCAGACAGAGAAGTCTGGCTTTTACTAGACGAGCAATGTGTGACTCTAATAGGAGGTCAACTACTTTATCACTCGTGTTACTGAACAAAGAAGACAGAAATGAGGCCTTAAGCATGGTTGGTATTGCCGCTTCTGCATTAGGTTGGGGTAATGCGTGAATCTGGACGGGTTCTGGTTTCACAGGTACTTTCATGGGACGGATGTTGTTCTTCTTTCCGTTTCTTTCCATTGCAGCTTCTTTTGTAGCAAAGTGGCCCAGTCGGTGGCATAGGGTGGCAGGTGCAGCAGAACGCATGTCTGGGTCGCTATCTTTGTCCTCCAGTCACTGCAGGAGGAAGAGCCGGCCTGGGAATTTGCGTCTCCTTGCACTTGCTCAGATTTAAAGGCAACAGCTCAGAGCATAAGAATGGGAACTGAAGACAGCAGCCCTTAATCTTAATGTATTTTGAGATTGCTGTCATACTCATTTGATATGAAACAATGTCTACCCTGCCTTGCCAACCTGTGACTGTTGGGCCGGATGCGGTGGCTCACGCCTGTAATTCCAGCACTTTGGGAGACCAAGGTGGTCAGATCACAAGGTCAAGAGATCGAGACCATCCTGGCCAACATGGTGAAACCCCCTGTCTACTAAAAGTACAAAAATTAGCTGGGCGTGGTGGCGGGCGCCTGTAGTCCCAGCTACTCGGGAGGCTGAGGCAGGAGAATCACTTGAACCCGGGAGGCAGAGGTTGCAGTGAGCTGAGATCGTGCCACTGTACTCCAGCCTGTGCAACAGGGAGAGACTCCATCTCAAAAAAACAAAAACAGTGTCCAGCCTGCCTTGCCAACCTGTGATTGTTGCTGGTCTTGTTCTCTGTGGGGTCTTATCACAGGTGTGAGTTCCTAGTTTGACAGAGCCGCTAACATCTGTTGGGGATTTCATCACTGCTGGTGCATATGTGCCATGCTAGCCACATGTCTAGGGCTACTGGATGACTTACGCCTTCAATCATCTAAGAAACAGCTCATCATTGGGAATAGTTTTTGAAAAGATGCAGCTCTTGCCTTAGATCGTGTTTTGTGGTGAAACAAAAGGAGGTGGCAGTCCCATTCCCTGATGGCTCAGACATGTTGCCACCCAGAGGCTCTGCCACGTTGGTCATCTGGTGACGTCCAGACGAGTGCAGACTGCCCGATCGCCTCAGGCATGATGACACTACAGAAAGTCTTGCTGCTTTAACATTTTTCTTCCTTAGGGAAAATAGTGTCAGATTCACAAATTCAACAGTATCATTTATGTTGCTATGAGTATCTAGTTCACAAACACGCACTAAAGGAGTTAAGGCAAAAAAAAAAAAAAAAAAAAAGTGCCATAGACGAGTTGGTCCTTATTTACATGATTTTTAAAACAACAGGCTCTGTGTTTCTGGGCATTTAGATAATTTGGAATAGTGTTGAGTCTTCTTAAGTAGTTCTTATAGTGGAGAACATGAGTTATTCTTTGTAGGGTGGTTCATAGAGCAGCGTGTTTGTTGGGATTTGTTAATCCTGTATAGGGTCTTTATGAAGTCTGTTTTCATGGAAGCTTCTCTTTGTCAACCCCAGGTTCATCAATGCCAGAAGACGAATTCTTCAGCCAATGTTGGATTCAAGTTGTTCAGAGACCCCCAAAACAAAGAAA